AGCAGATATGTTGTGTGTCCATTAACCACAATCTTCAACACATCCCTGGAAACTGGGCAACTACCTGAGGTATGAAGACCGCAAATGATAGTTCCATTTTAAATAAAGGAGACAGAAAAGAGGCACTAAATACAGACCTGTGTCACTGACGTGTATAGTATGCAAGTATGGAGAAGATATCAGGAGGAGAGTGTTGGAGCACCTGGAAGACTGGTGGAGCACCTAGAAGACTGGTGGACCACCTAGAAAGAATGGTGGAGCGCCTGGAAGACTGGTGGAGCACCTAGAAGACTGGTGGAGCACCTAGAAGACTGGTGGAGCACCTAGGAGACTGGTGGAGCACCTAGAAGACTGGTGGAGCACCTAGAAGACTGGTGGAGCACCTAGAAGACTGGTGGAGCACCTAGAAGACTGGTGTAGCACCTAAAAGACTGGTGGAGCACCTAGAAGACTGGTGGAGCACCTAGAAGACTGGTGGAACACCTAGAAGACTGGTGGAGCACCTAGAAGACTGGTGGAGCACCTAGAAGACTGGTGGAGCACCTAGAAGACTGGTGGAGCACCTAGAAGACTGGTGGAGCACCTAGAAGACTGGTGGATCACCTAGAAGACTGGTGGAGCACCTGGAAGACTGGTGGAGCACATAGAAGACTGGTGGAGCACCTAGAAGACTGGTGGAGCACCTAGAAGACTGCTGGAGCACCTATAAGACTGGTGGATCACCTAGAAGACTGGTGGAGCACCTGGAAGACTGGTGGAGCACCTAGAAGACTGGTGGATCACCTAGAAGACTGGTGGAGCACCTGGAAGACTGGTGGAGCACCTAGAAGACTGGTGGAGCACCTAGAAGACTGGTGGAAAGGAATTAGCTTATACACGACAAACAACATGGTTTCAGGGAAGGAAAATCCTGTGTCACAAACCAACTGGAGTTGTATGACAAGGTGACGGAAGTAAGACACGAGAGAGAGGGATGGGTTGATTGCATTTTCTTGGAATGATGGAATGCCTTCGACTCAGTTCCTCATAAGAGATTAGTCCAGAAGCTGGAGGATCAGGCGCGTATAACAGGAAGGACACTGCAATGGATCAGAGAATACCTGACAGAGAGGCAACAACGAGTCATGGTACGTGGCAAAGTGTCAGAGTGGGCGCCTGTGACGAGAGGGGGTCCCACAGGGGTCAGTCCTAGGACCAGTGCTATTTTTGGTATATGTGAACGACATGATGGAATGGATAGACTCAGAAGTGTCCCTGTTTTCAGATGATGTGAAGTTAATGAGGAGAATTAAATCGGATGAGGACCAGGCAGGACTTCAAAGAGACCTGGACAGACTGGACACCTGGTCCAGCAACTGGCTTTTCGAATTTAATCCCGCCAAATGCAAAGTCATGAAGATCGGGGAAGGGCAAAGAAGACCGCAGACGGAGCATAGGCTAGGTGGCCAAAGATTGCAAACTTCACTTAAGGAAAAAGATCTTGGGGTGAGTATAACACCGAGCATGTCTCCTGAGACACACATCAACCAGATAACTGCTGCAGCATATGGGCGCCTGGCAAACCTGAGAATAGTGTTCCGATACCTCAGTAAGGAATCGTTCAAGACACTGTACACTGTGTACGTCAGGCCCATACTCGAGTATGCAGCACCAGTTTGGAACCCACACCTGGTCAAACACGTGAAGAAATTAGAGAAAGTGCAAAGGTTTGCAACAAAGGGTAGTTCCAAGCTACGGGAAATGTCCTAGGAAGAAGGTTGAGGGACACTAGAGGACAGGAGGGTCAGTGGAGACATGATAATAACATACAAAATACTGCGTGGAATAGACAAGGTGGACAGAGACAGGATGTTCCAGAGAGGGACACAGCAAACAAGGGGACACAACAACAAAGGGACACAAACAAGGGGATCACAGGAAACAAAGGGGCACAGCAAAAAGGGGAAAAACGGACCAACAACAAGGGACCACAAAAAAGGGGCACAGAAAAGGGGCACAACAAAGGGCGCACCAGGACACAGAACAAGGGACAAAACAAGGCCGCAACAACGCCACACCCCCCCAGGGACACCCCGCAACAAGGGGACGCCCGCACCAAAAGGCCAACCCAACCCCCCCCCCCCACCCCGGGGCACCCGGGCCCCCCGCAACAAACCCCAAGGGACCCCACAAGGGACAAAAAAACAAGGGGACACAGCAACAAGGGACACAACAACAAGGGGAAACAAAAAAACCAAAAAAGGGGAAAACAACAACAAGGGGACACAACAACAAGGGACACAGAACAAGGGGACACAGTAACAAGGGGACAAAACAACAAGGGGACACAACAAAAAGGGGGAACACAACAACAAGGGGACACACAACAAGGAACCCCACCAAAGGGGCCAACAAAAAGGGGAAAACACAACAAAAAAGGGGCCCACAAAAAAGGGGGACACAACAAGGGGACACAGAACAAGGGACAAACAACAAGGGGACAAAACAACAAGGGGGACACAGCAACAAGGGGACACAGCAAAAAGGGGGACACAGCAACAAGGGGACACAGCAACAAGGGGACACAACAACAAGGGGACAAAACAACAAGGGGACACAGAACAAGGGGACAAAACAACAAGGGACAAAACAACAAGGGGACACACAACAAGGGGACACACAACAAGGGGACAAAAGCAACAAGGGGACACACAACAAGGGGACACAACAACAAGGGGACAAAACAACAAGGGGACAAAACAACAAGGGGACACAACAAAAAGGGGACAAGCAAAAAGGGGGACAAACAACAAGGGGACCAACAACAAGGGGACACAGCAACAAGGGACACAGCAACAAGGGGACACACAACAAGGGGACACAGCAACAAGGGGACACAAAACAAGGGGCCCACAACAAAAAGGGGGACACAGCAACAAGGGGACACACAACAAGGGGACAAAACAACAAGGGGACACAGCAACAAGGGACACAGAACAAGGGGCCCAAAACAACAACAAGGGGGAAACACACAACAAGGGGACAAAACAACAAGGGACACAGCAAAAGGGGACACAAAAACAAGGGGACAAAACAACAAGGGGACACAACAACAAGGGGACAAAACAACAAGGGGGCAACAACAAGGGGAACACAAAAGGGGACAAAACAAAAAGGGGGAAACACAAACAACAAGGGACACAGCAACAAGGGGACACAAAACAAGGGACACAACAACAAGGGACACAGCAACAAGGGACACACAACAAGGGGACACAGCAAAAAGGGACACAACAACAAGGGGACACAGCAACAAGGGGACACAACAACAAGGGGACACAGCAAAAAGGGGGCACAGCAACAAGGGGAAACAGCAATACAAGGGGACACAGCAACAAGGGGACACACAAAAAGGGGGACAAAACAACAAGGGGACACAACACAAGGGGACACAGCAAAAAGGGGACAACAACAAGGGGACACACAAAAAGGGGGAAACAAAACAAAAAGGGGGACACACAACAAGGGACACAGCAACAAGGGACCAGCAACAAGGGGACACAAAAAAAGGGGGACAAAAGAACAAGGGGACCAAACAACAAGGGACAAAACAAAAAGGGGGACACAGAAAACAAGGGGACAAAACAACAAGGGGACAAAACAACAAGGGGACACAACAACAAGGGGACACACAACAAGGGGGGGACAAAACAACAAAGGGGACACAGCAACAAGGGGACACAACAACAAGGGGACAAAACAAAAAGGGGGACACACAACAAGGGGACACAGCAACAAGGGGACAAAACAACAAGGGGACAAAACAACAAGGGGACACAGCAACAAGGGGACACAACAACACAAAAAAAGGGGGCCCACAACAAAGGGACAAAACAACAAGGGGACACAACAACAAGGACACAACAACAAGGGGACACAACAACAAGGGGACAAAACAACAAGGGGGACAAAACAACAAGGGGACAAAAACAACAAGGGACACAACAACAAGGGGACACACAACAAGGGGACACAACAAAAAGGGGGGACACAACAACAAGGGGACACAACAACAAGGGACACAGCAACAAGGGACACAACAAAAAGGGGGACACAGCAACAAGGGGACACAACAACAAGGGGACACAACAACAAGGGGACACACAACAAGGGACACAGCAACAAGGGGACACAACAAACAAGGGGACACAACAACAAGGGGACACAGCAACAAGGGGACACAGCAACAAGGGGACACAACAACAAGGGGACACAGCAACAAGGGGACACAACAACAAGGGGACACAGCAACAAGGGGACACAGCAACAAGGGGACACAACAACAAGGGGACACAACAACAAGGGGACACAACAACAAGGGGACACAACAACAAGGGAACACAACTGGAAGTTGAAGACTCAGATGAGTCACAGGGATGTTAGGAAGTATTTCTTCAGTCACAGAGTTGTCAGGAAGTGGAACAATCTGGAGAGTGATGTAGTGGAGGCAGGATCCATACATAGCTTTAAGAAGAGGTATGATAAACCTCATGGAGCAGGGAGAGAGTGTACCTAGTATCCACCAGTGAAGAGGCGGAGCCAGGAGCTGTGACTCGACCCCTGCAACCATAATTAGATAAATACCTTAGTGTATACGTTTCAGTGAGAGATATACACCTCTGTGTATATACATAAATATACAACTTTGTGTATAATACAATAAAACATTAGATTTAAATTATAGATTTTATTGTTATTATTATTATTATTATTATTATTATTATTATTATTATTATTATTATTATTATTTAAAGTGGGTAGCGTATTGAACAGTTGTGTGGATCCATCCTGTGGATGGTAGCACAAGAACATATGGATGCAATAGGCCCAGGAACTATACCTTAACAGGGTTGACCGGAGTACATCTGGATTTAGACATACAAATGAGTAGTACACCTGTTAAAAGTAGTGTGTGGCAGTGTGTGGCAGTGTGTGGCAGTGTGTGAGAGAGAGAGAGCAGTGTAGAGTGGGTGGTGGGTGTCCGTGGTCCGTGGTTCAGTGTAGCTGTGGTGTCCGTGGTGGTGGGTTGTGTCTAACTCTGTCTTAACATCTTCCTCACGTGTCTATATACATTCAATATTTACTTACATATAGTTATCCTGTGATTTTAGACCTTATTGATTCTGGTCCAGGAAGTGACCGGTTGTTAGTGTTGAGAAACTGACAGTTCCCGGGGCACTGTGTTGAAATTATCACAAAAACTGATGCATTTCGTAAGAAAATGGAATTACGTGGCATTGGTTATTGTTGACAAATTAATGGAAAACTTTCTAACATAACGATGAACTGGAATAAGTGGTGATTTGCGTGTTTAATTGCGTGTTTAGGGGGAATTTAATGTGTCTGTGAGAGAGTCAGTGGCGTAACACTTGTTAATATAGTGTAATTCAATGTTATTCAATTAAAACACCTGACTACCACACCAGAGAAGTGTAGCTATACAGTGTTACCAGACTCAGGAATATTGGTGTATTACCCTCGTCTGGATGAATAATTAGTTTTGTGGCGGGTTGTTTTGAGAGTTGTAACTCTATCTGTGGGTTATATACCACTTGTATTATGTTTGATCTCAAGGGGAGCTGGAACGAGTTAAGATGGCGTTGTTTAAGGTGTCTGAGGCAGGCCAAGATGCCTTCCTAGTGGGTTTCAGAAGGTGTTGGAACCTGTGTGTTGCGTAGTTGTTACATAGAAGATATGCCTGTTACGAATGTTGGAGCTACAGCCACTACCACGTGGTACAGCGCCCCACCCAGTCATCCTCCAGCCTCACCTCGCATCTCCCATCCGGCTAAAGTCTCATCTCCCACACATACGCAGCATCCACCCTCCCAGCAGCCACACCCAACTAAACATGGAGTGTCACAACATACCTCTACAGCGTCGCAACACACCTTTGGTGCCTCACATCCCAGGCACACGTTACAACACACAGATGCGTCACAGGCAGCATTACAACACGCTAGTGCATCGCAGGCAGCATCACAACACGCTAGTGCATCGCAGGCAGCATCACAACACACTACTGCATCGCAGACAGCATCACAACACACAAAGGCGTCACAGACAGCATCACAACACACACATGCGTCACACCCCAGGCATGCGCCACACCCACACACACATACCCCAGCTTCACGAGCACCCAGCTCACCTACGCTGGTACTCCCCCTCAAGCTAACGACTTCGAGTCCCCAATCTTCATCTCCGAAGCGAACAGTACCTCACTCCTCGAAGATCACTTCACCAACACGACTCAGGAACACAGACAAACTTCCTTCGATCTCCAAGGCCCCATCTACCTCTGTAGTCGAAGTCAACAATGCCTCTAGTTCGATGAGAAACTCTTCAGGGATGAAAGCTAAATTAAGAGACGGAAAATTAACCAAAGAAAAGACTAGGGAAAACAAGGATAGCGGAGATGCAGGTTCGGGGAAACATCGGGAAGTTACCAAGAAGCTGGATGCCAAGATGGAAGCCAAATCCATTCCAAAGAGGAAGAAGTCTGAAAGAAGTAACTCAGAGACAGAGATCAAACCAAAGAGGATGGTAGTGAAGGAGCAGCCCCACAGCATCACCAGGGTTGATGACTCACAGCACAGAACTACTAGGGTTGACCCACAACACAGAGCCACCAGGGTGGACGACCCACAGCACAGACCCATCACTGCCACAGTAACCAAAGTACGTGCACAAGATGCCACTTCGAAGGTCACAAAGACCTGGCGTCGTCCAACGACGCTCAAGTTGACGCAACCTCAAACGTCAAAGACGATAACAGAGAGGGTAAAGAGTGTGGAAAAGCAGCTGAAGGAACTGGACCTGAAAGAAACGACTCAAGAGAGAGTCACTGAGCAAGGGGACCTCCAAGACTTAGTCAGGCGAGATGACTCTGTGCTGGAGGCTGGAGATGCTGAGGCAGACGAACGAGATAAAGATAATTTTAAGACATATATAAAGTGTCCAACTGATACAACTATGGAGGATACAGCCATGAATAATGAAGCCATTGATTATACAGCCATGGATGATACAGTCATGGATGATACAGCCATGGATGATGCAGCCATGGATGATACAGTCATGGGTGATACAGTCATGGGTGATACAGCCATATCCAGGAGCATGAACCAGGGATGGGACGAAGATTTATATCACGACTCATCTGTGGATGATACCCTATTGGTAGGACTTACTCATGTGATGAGTGCCAGGGTGGATGAGGACGATAACAGGATGAGTGAGAGCTCCATTCAGGATGATGAATGTGACATAGACAGTTCTTACCTATTTGTAGTTGCTGGGGTCGATTCACAGCTCCTGGTCCCATCTGGTGGAAATGATGAGTCTGTGATGAATTACATTCATGGTGATGAATCTGGCAGTGTTATGAAGGATGTTTCTGTAGGGGATGATAGCCCTGGCATGGATGATTGTGCTATGGATGATAGCCAGGACGTGAAAGATGACTTTAAGAATGATGACAGCCAAGTTATCAAGGATGACAGCCGTGTCGTGATGACTCGCCAGACTCTAGATATCAGCCATCCCATGAATGATAGCTACACTGACAGCAGTAATATTATACACGAAGCTAGCACGGATGACAGCCACACCATGGATGACAGCCAGAGCTGTAAAGGCAACTCAACTTTAGATAACATTCCCAACATCAGTGTTGATCTGACAGCTCCTGAACCATATCTGACAGCTCCTGAACCATATCCTGTCCACCTAAAAGAACCAGACGACTTGAAGACAGTACAGAAAAGAACCGAAAAGGCAATAATGGGTAAAGAGGAAACAGAAGAGGTATTGATGATAGGAGAAATAACTAATACAAAGGTGGAAAGCAATGAGAGATGTAATGGAAATGGAAAATCGAAGATAAAAAGGGAATTAGAGGTGAAGGAAGCGATAACTGTGAGAGAGACATCAATGTTTGTGGGAAGTGGAACAGACAAGAGGATGGAAGTAACAGGTGTAAAAGAGAGTAAAAATAGAGAAGAAGAAATGGGGAAGAGAGAGAGACGAACCAAGAGGAAGATGGACACAGAGAGGACAAGAAACGGGTCCAAGAAGACGGCAAGAGTGTACGTAGAGAAAGGTAAATACTTGTACGTTATTTCTGTTTAATGTTACGTAGGTAACAGTGTCAAGTGCTGTCATATTGATGATTAAGACACAGGTGCAAGAGTTAGGTACCTTTATTGATGCATGTTTGGTCTACACGGTTTCTTCAGTCAAATACAGAGGCAGCAGTAGTAGTGAAATGACGTAATCAGTCAAAATATTTGAGAAATAGCATTTGAGGTGGTCAGTCCCTCAGCCTGGAGAAGAGTCCAGGCTGAGGGACTGACCACCTTGTTCCAGACCATGGAGCTGAACTCTTCACCAGGCTGAGGGACTGACCACCTTGTTCCAGACCATGGTGCTGGACTCTTCTCCAGGCTGAGGGCCTGACCACCTTGTTCCAGACCATAGTGCTGGACTCTTCTCCAGGCTGAGGGACTGACCACCTTGTTCCAGACCATGGAGCTGGACACTTCTCCAGGCTGAGGGACTGACCACCTTGTTCCAGACCATGGTGCTGAACTCTTCTCCAGGCTGAGGGACTGACCACCTTGTTCCAGACCATGGTGCTGAACTCCTCTCCAGGCTGAGGGACTGACCACCTTGTTCCAGACCATGAAGCTGGACTCTTCTCCAGGCTAGGGATGACCACCTTGTTCCAGACCTGGAGCTGGACTCTTCTCCAGGCTGAGGGACTAAATTCACCTTGTTCCAGACCATGGAGCTGGACTCTTCTCCAGGCTGAGGGCTGACCCCCCTTGTTTCCAGACCATGGAGCTGAACTCTTCTCCAGGCTGAGGGACTGACCACCTTGTTCCAGACCATGGAGCTGGACTCTTCTCCAGGCTGAGGGACTGACCACCTTGTTCCAGACCATGGAGATGGACTCTTCTCCAGGCTGAGGGACTGACCACCTCAAATACTTTTTCTCCAAGGTTAAGGGACTGATTACATCATTTCACTACACCTGCTGCCTCGGTATTTGACTGAAGAAGCCTACTGGGTAGGCGAAACGTTTCAAGAAAGATACCCAACTGGACTTGCCTCGCATGGGCCAGTAGGCCTGCTGCAGTGTTTCTTATGTTCTTATGTGTAACTGTTGGTCACTGTTGGTCACTGTTGGTCACTGTTGTGGTGGTGAAAGTGACACTGTTGTTGTTGTCTTTAATAAATTCTCTCAACTTCACTAATTAATATGTGTGCGCGTACGTGCGTTAATTCGTGCCTGGGTGCGTTCGTGGGCGTTTGGGTGCGTTCGTGCGTGTCAGACGTGACGCAGTAGAAAGCCACCAGCTCTGACACCAGTCTGATGACACCAAGCTGCTGACAACAACAGTCTGCTGACAAGCTGCTGACAACAACAGTCTGCTGACAAGCTGCTGATAACAACAGTCTGCTGACAAGCTGCTGACAACAACAGTCTGCTGACAAGCTGCTGACAACAGTTGCTCATTGGGGCTCTGTATTCCCTGGAACGCAGGCGAGAAAGATACTATATACACTTGGAAAATTCTACAGGGATTAGTACCAAACTTGTACACGAAAATCACTGTCTATGAGAGCAAAAGACTCGGCAGGAGATGTAACATTCCCACAATGAACAACAACGGTGACACCAGTACACTGAGAGAACACAATAAGTGTCAGGGGACCAAGACTGTTCAACTGTCTAACAGCATACAATGAAAAGCAGCGGTGCCACCAGTGCGCTAAGAGACGAGTGTAAAGGGACCAAGACTCTTCAAGTCAGTTCCTGATGAGCCGGGCTGTGGTGACTACCAGTACTGATATTAACAAGCTTCGGTCTGGGACCTAGACGCTGGGGTGATGATCTAGGGAGCAGATATAACTCTGGTGTGATGGTAGATCTGTATGCAGGAGTACATGTAGAAAGTACTTGTGTGTCCTGCCTGGTATGGTAGATGTGGCAAGGGAAATTAGTGTTTTGGGGGGTGGGTAGATGTTGTAAATGTGGGAAAATGGGTGTGTTGGTGTGTGTGTGTGTGTGTGTGTGGGTGTGTGTGTGTGTGTGTGGTGTTTGTTCTTGTTTTATTGAAAATGTGGTTGTTTTGGGGTTGTTTGGGGGGGGTTTTTGGTTTTTTTTAGTTGGTTTGGGGTTTTGGGGGTTTTGCCGGTGTGGGGGGTTGGGGGTGTGTTGTTGGGGGGTGGTGGTGGGGTGGTGGGTTGTGTTTGTGGGGGTTTTGGGGTCTTTTTGGGGGGAAAAAGGGTTTTTTGGGTTTTTGGGGGTTTGTGGTTTGGGGTTGGGGGTTTTTTGGGTGGTCCCCCGGGTTGGTTGTGGGTGGGTTGTTGGGGGGGGTTGGTGGGGTTTTTGGGGTGTTTGTGGGGGTGTGTGTGTTGTGTGGTTGGGGGTGGGTGTGTTGGGGGTTTTGGGGGGGTGGTGTTGTTGGGGGTTGTGGTTTTTGTGTGTTGTGGTGTGGTGTGTGGGGGTTGTGTTGTGGGGGGTGGGTGTGTTGTTGTGGGGTGTGTTTTGTGTTTTGGTGTGTTTTTGTTTGGGGTTGTGTGTGTGTGTGTGTGTGTGTGTTTTGTGTGTTTTTTTGTTGTGTTTTGTGGTTGTTTTGTGTGTGTGTGTTGTGTTTTTGTGTGGTGTGTTGTGTGTGTGTTGTTGTGTGTGTGTGTGTGTTGTTTTGGTGTGTTTGTGTGTGTGTGTGTGTGTTGTTGTGTTGTGTGTGTGTTGTGTGTGTTTGTTTGTGTGTGTGTTGGTGTGTTGTGGTTGTGGTGTTGTTGTGTGTGTGTGTTTGTGTTGTGTTGTGTTGGTGTTTTGTGTTTTGTTGGTTGTGTGTGTGTGTGTGTGTGTGTGTGTTGTGTTTGGGGTGTGTGTGTGTTTTGTGGGGGTGTTTGGTGTGTGTGGTTGTGTGTTGTGTGTGTTTGTGTGTGTTGTTTGTGGTGTGTTGTGTGTGTGTGTTGTGTGTGTGTGTGTGTTTTTTTTTTTTTGTTGTGTGTGTGTTGTTGTGTGTGTGTGTGGGGTTTTTGTGTGTGTGTGTGTGTGTTGTGTGTGTGGTTTTGTGTGTTGTGTGTTGTGTGTGTTTTTGTTGTGTGTTGTGTGTGGTTGTGTGTGTTGTGTTGTGTGTTGTTGTGGGGTTTTGTGTGTGTTTTGTTGTGTGTGTGTGTTTGTGTGTGTGTGTGTGTGTGTGTGTGTGTTTTGTTGTTTGTGTGTGTGTGTGTTGTGTGTGTTGTGTGTGTGTGGGGGTTGTGTGTTTGTGTTTTGTGTTGTGTGTTTTGGGGGTGTGTTGTTGTGTGTGTGTTGTGTGTTGGTGTTGTGTGTGTTGTGTGTGTGTGTTGTGTGTGTGTGTTGGGGTGTTGTGTTTGTGGTGTTGTTGTGTGTGTGTGTTTGGTTTTGTGGTGTGTGTTGGGTGTGGTGTGGGTGTGTGTGTGTGGTTGTGTGTTGTGTGTTGTGTGTGTGTGTGTTTTGTGTGTGTTGTGTGTGTGTGTGTGGTGGTGTTGTGTGTTGTTTTTTTGGGTGGTGTGTGGTGTTGTGTGTGTGTGTGTGTTGTGTTGTGTGTGTGGTGTGTTTTGTGTGGTGTTTGTGTGTGTTGTGTGTGTGTGTGTGTTGGTGTGTGTGTTTTGTTGGTGTGTGTTTTGTTTTGTTGTGGTGTGTTGTGTTTGTTGTGTGTGTTGGGTTTTGTGTGTGGTGTTTTTGGTGTTGTGTGTGTTGTGTTTTGTGTTTTTGTGGTTTGTGTTGTGGTGTGTTTGTGTGTGTGTTGTGTTGTGTGTGTGTTGTTGTTTTTTGTGTGTGTGTGTGTTTGTTGTGTGTGGTGTGTTTTGTTGTGTTTTTGGGTGTGTGTGTGTGTGTTGTGTGTTGTGGTTGTGTGTGTTGTGTTGTGGGGTGTGTGTGTGTGTGTTTGGTGTTGGGTGTGTGTGTGTGTGTGGTGTGTTGTTTTGGTGTGTGATGTGTGTGTGTGTGTTGTGTGTGTGTGTGTGTGTTTTGTTGTGTTGTGTGTGTTGTGTGTTGGTGTTGTGTTTTTGTGTTTTTGTGTGTTTTTTTGTGTGTGTGTGTGTGTGTGTGTGTTGGGGTGTGTGTTTTGTGTGTTGGGGTTTTGTGTGTTGTGTGTGTGTGTTGTGTTTTTTGGTGTGTGTGTTGTTGTGTGTGTGTGTGTGTGTGTGGTTGTGGGTGTGTGTTTGTGGGGTTGTGTGTTGGGGTGTTGTGGGGTGTGGGGGGGGTTGGGGTGTTGTTGTGTGTTGTGTTTTTGTGTGTGTGTGGGGTTTTTGTTGTGTTGTGTTTTTGTGTTTTTTGTGTGTTGTGTGTTTGTGTTTTGTGTGTTTGTGTGGTTTTGTGTGTTGTTTTGTTGTGTGTTGTGTGTGTGTGTTTTTTGTGTGTGTGTTGTGTTGTGTGTTGTGGGGTTGTTGTTGTGTTTTGTGTGTGTGTGTGTTGTGTGTTTTTTGGGTTGTGTTGTGTGTGGTTGTGTTTTGTGTTTGTGTGTGGGGTGTTGTGTGTGTGTGGGGGGGGGGGGGGGTGTGTTTGTGTGTGTGTGTGGTTTTTGTTTGTTTTTGTGTGTGTGGTGTGTGGGGTGTGTGGTGTGTGTGTGTGTGTGTGTGTGGGTGTGGGGTTTTGGGGTTTTTGTGTGTGTTTTGGTGTTTTTGTGTGTTGTGTTTTGTGTGGTGGTTTGTTGTGTGTGTGTGTGTGGTGTTTGTGTGTGGGTGTTTTGGGTGTGTTTTTTGTGTGTGTGTTGTGTTTTGTGTGTGTGTGTGTGTGTTTTGGGGGGGTGTGGGGGTGTGGGGGTTTGTTGTGTGTGTGTGTGTTTTTTGTGTGGTGTTTGTGTTGGGGGTGTTTGTTGTGTGTGTGTTTTGTGTGTGTGGGGTGTGTGTGTGTTGTGTGTGTGTTGGGGTGTTTGTTTGTGGTGTGGGTGTGTGTGTGTTTTTGTGTTGTGTTTTGTGTGTGTGTGTGTGTGTGTGTGTGTGTGGTTGGTGTGTGTGTTGTGGTGTGTTTTGTTGTTGTGTTGTGGGTGTTGTTTGTGTGTGTTGTGTGTGTGTGTTGTGTTGTGTGGTGTGGTGTGTGTGTGGGTTTTGGGTTTTGGGTGGTTTTGTGTGGGTTTTGTGTGTGTGGGGTTTTGTGTGTGTGT